TTTATTATGGAAAATCGTACTAACATGGATGATTTGGGGATACCCCCATTTTAGGACACCTCCATACTACTATTTGTTCTTGAAATAAGTCTCATTTCCCTCCAGTCAATATCCAGCTTATAATCTATCATTTTCCTGGACAAAAAATGAATGTTCATCCGTCTTCACAGGCTAAAATCAATGTTTCATCCATTGTTCGTTCATTTTCACCGGTGAATGATTAATCACCTGTGAGTCAACTTTCACCAGCAACATCAAGGGTTCATCAACTTTAACTACTGAAATGTTGAATCATTTGTTCAACCAGTTTTAACTACAGTAGTTTGACTATCATGATTTATCATCCATTTTCATCCATTTTCTTCTTTGGGGTTTGCTTAGCTTAGCTTTTAGCTGCCACTCACCTGAGGCTGGAGGCCCCAAAGGCCCCAAAGGCCCCAAAGGCCCCGAAGGTCGGACTCACCAGAAATGGCTGCGGTTCCATTCACTGGATATGTTTATTTTAAACATATTTTGCCATGGTTTACCATGGTGATTTATCGGATTTTACATCCATTTGATTGGATGAAAACCAGCTTTGAATGGGTTCCGGTGTCATTTTTGAAGGGGGCTCCGATTGGCCACCCGGTTGTTGTTACGTTGGTATGTTGTTACAATGTGGGCCTTCCTAGTTACCCTCTGCTAATGACTAACATAGCTATTGAACATGACCATTTATAGTGGATTTACCCATTGAAAATGGTGCTTTTCCATAGTTACGTTAGTTTACCAGAGGGTTTGTCATGAGTTGGTTTGTAAACCCAATTGCATTGTATAAGTTCTAAGTCATAAGTATCATAAACCATAGGTATTGGAGTTACAAGCCAACTTGGCTATCTAGGGGGCCCCACATTGCATGTTAGGTTTGCATTTTTTGTTGATCATTACTTTAAACTGCTCGTATCTTTCCAATTTTGACCATCCGGCTGGGTAATCACCTGACATTCAGAGTTCTGGCCAACTTGTTCAGAGTAGATATCAGGAATCATTTTGAACGAACTTGTTTTCAGTGTCCCTGGCGTTTTCATACATTTATGAAAGCTCATGTTCAAATCATTCCATCCAAAAAAAAGGCTCATGACCCATCCTCCATGTTGGGACAAACCCAAACAAAGGAACTCATCATTGTCGTTGGGTTTACTCGCAAAAAAGCCTAACATTTTTGTCCAATTCACCCATAGCGAAACTCCCCATATGTTGATCCACGAAAATCCCCCATTTCTGATGGTGAAAGTCCTCATGTTTCATGGTTAAGTCCCTATGTTTGATTGTTACAGTTATGGCCGTTTATGAGTTAACTAGTTATAACTGGTTATATTTCTATGGGGTTATACACTCTATAAATGCGGGTTTCTTAGTACTTATAACTGGTAAAAGGGCCATAACTGTAAACCATGGTAAGGCCCTTATTTCTGATGGTCTCATCGTTGCGTGCCCCGCGAGGAGCCACCTCCAGCAGCTTTGGAGGAACCAGCTGGATGTGTTTTGACGTGGGGCCCTGATCGTGAAACCATGGGAAAATGATGGAAAATGATGATCTGATCTGATCATAGAGTTGGTGAACGCAAAGACTGGTACCAATAAGTACTTGTAGGGTTTATGATCTTATAGTGTTCATGAGGGCTATAGGCCAACTATGGCCAAGTTATACCCTAACTGGGGAGGGCCACATTGTAAGTACTCACTTTTTTGGGGATGGTATTTTGATGGAAATATTTTGGAGCTACACCAATGCAGGGAAAGAATGCAGGGTAATTATGCCCTGGTTCCAACTTTTCTATTTTTGTTGATGCCCTTTCTGAAAGATGCAACTGACATTTGGGTGTGGCTACGAGAAAGGTTGCGATTTGGCTTGCTTCATTGACAACCATTTCCGAACATGTTTTTTTTTCGGTTTTGGGGTGAGGTAAGGCTCCAATGTTTCTCCGAGTGGCGATCCAGGAAGACGTGGAAGATGTGCAGATTATGGTGCAGGGTGTGCCGCATCTCTTCTCGCTGGTGCTCCAAGATGATGAGCTGCAGGACGCAACGTCCTGCTATGTCCTGCTTGGTGCTTGCCACAATGGCCAAAGGTGGGTAGTTTAACCAACGGATACCACGTGTGTTTACCCTCTGGTAAATTAACACAACTAATTATGGAACATCACCATTTTCAATGGGTAAATCCACTATAAACGGCCATTTTCAATAGCCATGTTAAATTACCAGGGGGTAATCTAAGCGATACTGCTATCATCCTTGCAAACCACCTGAACTTAACGCTGAAAATGATGGCACACTATGGCACACTATGGCACACTATGGCACACTAACATGGATATTGTGGTGTTGCAATTGTATACCTATATATATATATATATATATACATAAATAGATCGATCAGCGATCATGTTCCTGGTCCCATGTGCTTGAATTGTGCCATGTCGCGGCTTTGAGCTAATTCACTGGGAGAAAGAAACGCACCCAAAAAAGCCCACAATAGCCCATAGGCTGTGCTACACATGAAGTGATAGACCATAGGTGTTCGAACGTAGGGTCCTGGTTCCTGAGAAATCTTCCAACTTGACGCATTATTGAAGCATCATGCCCTAGGGATGCACATCAAATGCACTTTCCGTAGGCTGAACCAATGGCTTGTCAGGCCTGTCGTCATCATCAAAATTCCCAGCGCAAATACCTACTGTAATTGACATAGATGTGGAAGTCTGTAACACCAATATTTTCCAAAAATGAAAATAAGAATCTAATTACACATGGTGGCAGTTCCACATTGTTTGGTTTAGTTATATTCCTATCATGATGTGTTATATATATATATATGTATACGCCCTCATGTTTGTTTAGTATAGTAAACTCTCTCTTAACCATCCTCATCCCTCATGAAATCATTGCTTTTCTCCATCATCCGCTGCACTCCGATACAAGGAGCAGATGACTGACCAGGAGTACCAAAGGCACGGGGTCCTGTCCGTGTTGCTTTGAATTCAGCGATGCTTTGCCAAGTTGTTGTGGCAAAAACAACCAAACACTATTATCCAAACTTCATGTGGACATATATAAATATAAATATATCTCTATCTATATAACTCATATATATATCTAATCATATCTAGATCCTTATGTAGAAATGATGGTTTAAGCGAAGGAATGTCTATAGAACTTGTTGTTTGATAATAGGCTGTGGGCCAGACATGTTTGAACCGAAAAACACTCACAGAGAGATGCCGCAAGCCAAGTTGTTGCAGCTCTTGCAGTTGCACAACTGTCCAAACAACCACTGTAATCCTAGGAGGCTGCAGCCATTGCACATCTTGGGGATCATCTATATTTACACACACATATATATATATATATTGGCTTGTGTACTGAGTGACGCTTCAAAAAATATAGGCATGGAATTTACCATTGTAGCTGGATGTTTTTTTGTTCATTTTCGGCCGCGGGGTGAAGGTTATTATTAGTAGTGCTATTTGTTTGTAACATTATTATATATTATTGTTATCATTACTTTTATGATATATAAAAGAACCACATATATATATATACGCATAATATTATGATTATATATTTTGTATTTATTATTATATATATGTATGTATGTGTGTGTACACCTATGAACTGAGGTTTACATGGACGTTACTACCAGAAAGGCACCTGGAGCATCCAGAACAACCTGCAAACCTTCACAGCGGGTTGAACCTTGATCTTGAAAGGTAAAGTCCTATCTTATAGTACAGTAAGATTCAACCAGATCAAATAGATAGTATCTTTCAAGGTCAGGACTTTACCTTTCAACCCTAAAGTACAGTAAGAAATAGGTAAGTTGTTGACAGATCTATTCTGAATTTTCACCAGCGAAAACCACATCACTGGTATACAGTGGTAAGCATTCAATATCAACACAAATGTATGGTAATTATGGATATCCCAAATTTGCCATTTTACCCTCCGATAATCAAACGTGGAAATGGAAAACCCTCCTTTAGTTCGATTAGTCTTCCATGAAAACCTGAATATACCACCGGACTTTTCCAATGCTACGTGTGATTGAGTTTGATTGCCAGAGGGGAATTATGTCAACGGGGATGTTACACCACTATGTTCGTTGGTTAAAAGCTGAATCCATCTGAATCCTCAAAATTTTAATGGTCAAGTCACCGTTGTAGTTTGCTAAATCCCCATTGTGGATGCTTAAATCGCTATTGTTTGTTGACAAAGTCACTAGATGTTTTGGTAAACAAATCATAACACATCCCATTAAATCACCATTTGTGTTGATTAAATCACTATTAAACCACCATTATACAAATCCCATTAAATCCCACTAAATATATATATATATATATATATATATTGTATATATATATATGTGTGTGGGTGTGTATGTGTATATATATATATATATGTATATATATATATGTATATATATATATGGCCGCCTAGCTGTCGCTTTGTCGCTTCGGTTCCACCGTTCAGCTTCTACGACTTGGACCGCGAATTGCAACAGCGCCAGCTGCGTCGCATGGCCCGCGTGGCCCGCGTGGCCGCAGGCAGCCAAGGCGAGGATCGTCTTGATCAATAAGAATAATCTCAATTTGATAATGATAAAGAGAGAGAGAGATATATATATATATATATACACATTTTTTTATCTAATGAAAACAGTAATTGTCACCCATCATCATCGTCGTCATCATCATCATCATCATCGTCATGATCACCATCAACCCCAAGACAATATTGGCGGTACACCTGAGCAATACGCGAATAATCACAATTTTTTTATAGCATCACCCAAACTTAAATATTGTCAATAATGATAACTATTTTCACCAAAGGAACAGTAGTGATAATTGGACCAATGATCATCCAAGAAAATTATTAGTGATAATTTTCACCAATACTCACTAATGATAATGGACTTCTTTGTGCAGTAAATGTTTTGGACGTTGCTGAACCGCAGCTGCTTCAGCTGCCCAGCCGTTCCCCACCGTTCCGCGCCCAAAAAACCGCCATGGCGTCCGTGGCGGTCGTGGTGGTGGCCGCAGACCGTGGACACTTCAACTGGTCCCTGCCGCTGGCGGAGGCCTTGGTGACGGACGATGTGGTGCAAAAAGTGGAGTCGCTGGGTCAACGCCGGAGACTTTGGGATGCTGTGCCAATCAATGGTATCCAAATATATAAATAAATAAATATATATATATATTTATATATGTATATATATATTTATTTATTTATTTATTTCTTTGGGTACATTATAACGACCTTACTGCCTGCGACCTCACTGGAAATCATGATTTATAAGGGGAATCATTCCCAAATGGCCTTATTTCAGGTTAGTGAAATATTATAATTTAATTATAATTTACACATATATATATATATGTATCTTGATCTGGTCTTGGATATTCCTTTCGATGTTTTAGGGCATATATCTCGGATTGTCTTGATTGGTGGTTTTATGTCAAGTGACCATGGCTTGGTTTGTCTACACATTCATCGAGAAAGTGTGGAGGGGTAGTTGCAACGATTCAATGGCCATTCAATGGGATGTAGTCAGTCCCAAGTTTCTTTGGGATTGAATCGTATTTTCAACTTGGTTTTAGTGTGTTTTAGTCAAGCTCAAATACACATTCAAAGGCAAGGATCGCAATGTCAATGGCTAGGTTCATTTTTTGATCCAGAACTGGCAGCTGTATCAACCTGCAAACAATCAAATGGTTGAAATGTAGTTCAATTAAAATTGGCCATGTGGGCACGATAAATGGAGCTACTGTACCATGTGTTCTTTTTGTGTTTGATTTATTTCCATAAATCAAAAGCCGAGACACTGACCTTACATACTGATCGTTTTTATTAGGTACATCCAACTTACTGTACATAGTGTAAGTGTCTCTTCAGTCGTGGAAGGGAATGGAATATTGATTTAACTGGCCTGTTTCTGCTGGTTTTTTGGTTGGTACCATGACGTTGGCCAGTTGCTAAGGCGGATGTGTTTCTCATTGCGTTGGTTCAAGAGGAAATCCAACCGGGATTTATACAATAATGCCCATAACTCAAATAACTGGGGGTTATGGTCGATTTTTTCAAAACCCCATCACGAACTGGTGTGATCCATACTTCGTGTGAATATTCACATATTCGCCCATTAATTATAGTCTAATAGTCTAAAATAAACATCCCTGATTGGTGGTTTGGAACATTAATTTTGTTTTTCCATTGGCAATTAAACAAATCCCAACTGACGAGCACATATTGTTCAGAGGGGTAGGGCTCAAGCACCAGATCCAATCGCCCGTAGCTGCCAGGTATTGGACCTCCGAAGAGTCACAGCCTTGGCTCGGCGGTGGCCTTCCGCCACAAGTGACCCTGGGCTCGGGCTCCCAGGAAGCCAAGGTCGGGCTCCCGGTGACCACCTGAGAATCGGCGGGGAAAAGATGGCCCGGCCGCGGCCTGAATTTCTGACAGCTATTGAAATCTATTGAACATGGC